GCAGAGTGCATACGCCGAAGCAATTGACTCACTGGCCCGCACAAGGAAGCTGCCATCCTTGCCTACTTTGGAGAGCAGGTCTTCAGCTCTGGAGCGAGTGATATTGCCGTGGTACCAGCACTGATCCATTGCTGCAGCTGGAGGAAACCTGAATGCCAATACAGGAGCTGCCAGAGCTGCCTCTGTGTCTGTGCGTTACGATCAGGCAGCTTCAACTCACCAGCTTCCTGTTTCAATAGTACAGAGAGGGAAAGGAAACTCAGCCGCGGACAACTTCCTCAACTTAAACAGCTCAGAGAGTGAGCGTGACATGTTCCTGCAGCCCCTGCTCTCTCCTCATGCTGCAGCTGAAGTGACGAGCAAACCCACGTTCCCCGACTTTCCCTTCCCCTTCACGTCCTAATATTCTGTATCAAAAAGTCCCAGCTGGGGATCCCTTCTGCCCTCCCACTGACTCAGTCCTGCAGGCTTTGGTGGCCTGCCTTCCCATTTCTGATCTCTTGCCAGATCCTCTGGGTTTCCATCTTTTTCCTGTCTGTCAGTCCTACCCACTACAGGTCTCCATGGGGAACAAATAAATCCTAGACTGACTGAAAACAAACTGCATTTGGATCCCTTCGCACTGACTGCCCCATTCCTGCATTGTCTAGTCCTCACATCTAGGTTGGTGTCAGGAGGGGACTTGCAATAACCACAAAACATATATATATATATTTTTTTAAATAATTATCCCTGTATGTTTCCATGCACAGAAGCAGGCTTAAAGGCTGATTTGTTCTGGGAATTAGTGACCAAAGCTCCCTGTCAGCTACTGTGAGATGGATTCAAAGGTCTTTCCTACTCTAAATCCCCAAAGATGGGATGGAGCAAAGTAATTTTTGGCAACCCGCGTCAGACAGGGGGAACTGGGGCTTTCACTTCCCTTTTCTTTGGCTGTACATCTGCCCCTTGTCTGGGCTCTGTGTGGCATGCTCAGCACTGCATCTCCAAGGCAGAGCAACAAGGGCACAATTGCAGCAGGAGCAGTGCTTGCACGGCAACTTCGGTTGCCTCTCCTGTACCTCCAGCTACTCTGCCTTTGCAGTCAGTGCTTCTGCACATTCACATCTGAGCTGTAATCAGAAGCAGCTCTGCTGGGACTCCACATGGAGAGGGAGTCCCCAGGCAAGGCAGAGGCACTGCTAACCCTATGCGACCCTCGACTCCCAGAGCCAGGAGTGCTGTGGCTCCAGATCACGCAGGACGTACCAGAGTGCTGCCCCCTTCCACAGCACAGACGGCAAGGCAGGAGACAGCTGCCTAGACCAAATGGGGAGAGACCAGAACTGGTGGGTATGGGAAGGGAGACTGAGCCAGTACAGGCCAGCATCCATCCCTGTCTGCCTTCCTGGCACTGTCAGTTATCCACACATTTACTCTGCAGTGTCCAGCTTAATCTCAGCTTTTGGGATTAAACTGTGGGCAACAGCAATTCAGAACTGTGCAACCCTGCTAAATGGGCAGAACTGCAACGTGCAGGGCTTCCTGTCCACGCTGAGCAAACACTGCCTACAGACCAAAATTAGCTTAGCTGGACCTGCCCTTCGTCTTCATCCAGACCCAGCTGGAGCTTTTGGAGCCAGTCTACCATGGATTCAGGTACGTAAACAGAGTCAGATGCTGAATAGTAAGAAGTGGCTCTGCATGGACAATAACTGTGAGCTCCTGTAAGCTACAGAGTGGCTGAAAACACTGCTCTCCCTACTGAGAATAGTGTCTGCATATTGCAAAGGGACTCTGCACCTCCTCTGACAGTCCTGCCTGGCCACTAGTGTGCTGCTGGCCTCACCCATACCAGCTTTTTGGGATGTCTGAGACAGCAGCCTCTCTGGAGCACGGCTGCAGCAGGAAGTAGAACGGTTCTGAATGTCAAACCACTGCTGGGCCTCACAGTGCTCTCCACGCCATGGACCTGTATGATGACACACAGCGGACAGAGCTTCTGCACTGGATGAGTATTCCTGGAATGAAACTGCATTTGCAGAGGTTCTGACCTACTGCAAGTTAACAAAGAAGTACAAGCCCTGGTCAGACAGCTGAAAGACTGGTTGGTTGGACAGTTAACACCTCATTTCTATCCATCCTTCCACTGACTTCAGCTTGTTAGGGAGCTGCTGCTGCTTCCTTCAAATGTGTACACTCCTGTCCAGCCACATACAACTTCTCAGTTTAGAGACATGAATAAGGGGATGGGATCCAAATGCATGCGATGACTGTGGCCATAAAAAGTGCAGGTTGGTTTCTGCATGTGTTTCTTGGTCCTAAAGAAAAGCACAGGACAGCTCCAGACGCTCAAAAGGTGAATCGTAAACCCCTAGCATAAACCTCTCTCTGTTCCCTAAAGGCTCATCTGCAGCATTGCCTGAAGAGGAAATGGCGTCTGACGTACTTCTCACGGCACGTACATCTGATCTCTGCAGCGCTGGAGAAAGACTGATCCTTGTGTGGTCAGTGCACGTGTGTGCACATTGTGAGCTACCTGCAGCCTGACTCCCAAAGGACAGCAATAACTTCTTGTCCCCCGCAGTCAAGAGGCTGTTCTGCAGCAGATACTTACACCATTCATTTTCTTTCCATGTGTGCCGGTGTTGGAGAAGGCTTGTGAGCAGATCTGAGAAAGAAGAGATTAGAGAAGAGGAGAGGAGCTACAGAGTTTGCCATGGAGTGGGACTGCCGGGATCAGACTGCAGCAGTTGCATGTCAGGAGATACAGGGCCCATAGTGATACTACAGGGGTAATCAGCACAGCACTAGGTTTCCACAAGAAATGGGATGTGCTTCAGATAGTCTATGCTGTCATCCCAAGTTGGGACAAAGTATCATGGAAGAGCTCCCCTTGTAAAACAAAAGAATAACGGGTACCAGGCAGACAAATGCAAGCCAGACTCAATAGGAGCTATCAGATAACCACAGCAGCAGCATCTCACTTAAACTTACTTGAGAGAGCGAGGCCACAGACAAAGAATTTGGACACATTTTGATGTTGGATAATCAGAAACTACAGTCTACGGACAAAGCAAATGCTATGTCTCCCATGTTAGGGTGTTATTCCAAGCTCTGTCTCTCAGAAAGTACAATAAATGCTTTATCTGAACTGGGTTTGCTACTGATCCACTTATTGGATCAGCTGGCTGCAAACTCAGCACCCTGCCCATGGCCAGTGGGTAAATACTGGCTGTAGCATCATTCAAATTGCACAGTGGGCACCCAAAACAGGCTATTTGGCCACAGAAGTGCATTTACACTCTGGCCTACATCTAAAGGCCACATGAGCAATACCTACAAAATACTGGTTTGCTCAGACACTGTGCCCTTTGAGGCTGTGACCCAGCACATCACTGACCTGCTGCTTGAGGAAGGCTCAGCGAATTACAGGTGTATTTGTGAAGGCCATGAGATCTTCGCTCCCTTTGAGCCTGCAGCCTCCAGGTACCCTGAAGCAAACCTAGATGAGTGAGAAAAATCAGAAGCCCTTCTTGCAATTTCCCTGAAAGTTATAAGCAATAAAAAGCAAGGGTGTGTGTATGGGGGTAGGGAGGTGAACACTGAGCAAGCAGAGACTCAAAGACCTGAGCAGTGACAGTGCAAAGGATCCTACATGACCTGCTAGAGCTCCCCAAAGGGGGTGCATGCTGAGAACACTCTGAAAAGTAGGTATTTTTCTTCAACAATAGAGCAAACAAACATATTCTCCTTGGAGCCGTTCCACACACAGAGAATACAGCATGCAGAAAACAAGCACAGACTTGTATGTAAAGAATTTTTCCAGAGGCATGGGTAAAGCTTTTCTGACTCCTTGTGCCCTTATGTGTTGTCCTTTGTGCCTGCTCATTCCTGCTCACTCCTCTTGTCTACTCCAAGTCTAAACTTCGCACGACAGCCTCAGAAGAGCCCGTCTCTCACCAAAACTGGGGGCTGTTTCTTTCCAAAACCTGCTGAAAAATGTTTACTCTGAAAAGACTTCCAGCTTGAGCACTCTCAGGCTGTTCTGCGCTTGGTCAGGTCCTCCTCCTCTGGCATTTAGGCCTATGCAATTTTCTGGAAGTGAGGCAATGTTATTTGTTTGACACACTGCCCCATATGCCAGTAATACTCCGCAATAATAACAGCCATGCTTGTGAGGCATTGGGTTGTCAGAGATAAGAGCAGTTGGATCAGAGCTAAGCACATGTGTTAGACCAGCAAGTATTTCCCCTCGTGACTATAAATTGGAGCTCCCTCTGCAGACATGTCCTGATCCTGCAGTTGCAGTATGGGCAAAATGCAATTTCTGCCACTTGCCCTGTCCCCAGACATGGGGCTGGGGGCTCCTGCACAGGTCCCACTCTCCCTGCCCATGGAAAAGGAACAGCTGGAGCACACGAGGCTGTGGTTTTCTTGCACATGAGAAACTGCAACTACTTAGTGCAGTATCAGCAAAAGGGCAAATAAAGCAAGAACATGGGAAGTAAGGAGAAGGTGAACTTAGACAGAAGTCCCTGAGTAGCCTGGGAACTCAACACAGCAACCCCAAATCCAGTGCAGAAGTGGGAAATAATAAGGGCTGGGAATATTTCAAGACAATGGCATCCCATGGCCTTTCTGAACTTGTAAGACAGCAAGCCCTGAAAGGTAGAGCTGCTAGCAAGTACGACGCTGACTGCAAGAAGTACACCTAATCAGGGCCCAAACAGCTTTCTGAAAATAACAGCGGATACAGGCAGAAAGGCAGTGTCCTTTCCAGTACTTCCCCCACAATTTACTAAATACAGCTCAGCACAACACTGCTACCCCCTAATCTCAGGCAGTCCCTGAGCCATCAGCAGGCATATCCCTAGGCAAGGCTGTTGGAGGCCTTAAGGCGAGAGACCCCATACAAAAGTCATGCTTGCTTTGAGCATGTGATGTTTAAAATAGCAGCCAAAGGGAAAAGTGAGGTGGGAGAACAGGCAAGGGAAAAAAAAAAAAAAAAACAAAATACGTTTAGTTTTAGTATGTTTAATAGACTTCGTAATCTACAAATGGTACAAGCCAATGGCAAACCAATGGTGCACAAAATACAAAAACCTTTTTGCTGAAAGATGAGAAGTGACAGTGAAAAGAAGCACCAGCAAAGGTGGTTTTCAGATGGATCCCGCTGAAAAGGCTCAAGACTCAGCACTCAGATGGGAAGGCTTGCTTCAGAGTGAACATTACAAATATTATCTCTTCACATTGCTGTTGAGTCCCATATTCAAAAAGGCAGGAGAACAAGGGTGAGCCATCTGGCCCAACCCCCATGTACTGCAGATCTGAATAAGCACATAAACCCTTGAAGAGGATGCTTGGTTTTGTCCACTGTTCTGGGTTTAAAGGGGTTTTATTGAGGTAAATTCCTAAATCTCTTCGACCCTTTGGGTCTGTAGGATGAGTGTAGAGCAACCAACTATCTTGGCACCTGGCATCACGGGGAGGTGGGAAGGCAGTAACACTTCCATGACATCCAAAGGGAGGCTCTACAAGCATTTCAACCCGTTGGCCTCCCTCAAAATCCACCCCGTGGTTGTAGCTGACGGCCTGGATTCTTGCTCCCTTGCTGCTCCTTGCGTTGCAGTAGAGCACCCTCCTGCCACAGGTGTGTACCTCAGCTACCTGGCACTCCACCGCACTCTCCTTCCCCACAAAGTTCCCCATCTCCCATGTCGTCCCATGGTCAGAGCTGATGAAGCAGAAGGCGTGAGGGGTGGGGTGCTGCTTAGGGTCAAGGATACGATAGGCATAGGCAGGAATCACAAGGCTCCGGGCCTCATTGAGCAGCTGTAATCCGTGGCCTGGCCCCACTGCGAAGGTGGCCCACTTCTTGTACTCGGAGCTAATGGTACCCTCGGTGATATCCTGGACAGTGCTCCAGGTGCGTCCTTGGTCCATGCTAGTGATGTAGCAGAGACGCACCAGGTTGGTCTTCGTCCTGAGCTGGTGCTGCTCAGAGATCTTTCCTGGGACGGCTATGAAGAACAGGATCAGTTTCCCTGAGACCTCGTCATAAACAGGACAGGGATTCATAGAGCGGTGATCTTTCAGCTGTGCACTGACAATGGTCTCCATGCTACTCCACTGCCAGGGCCGTGTGAAGGGAGACAAGAATGAAACACACTGTTACAGGTAAATCCAGGTTGCAGTGCAAGTATGCCCAGATAAAAGTTACAGAAGAGTTTGAGAACAGCACGGGATGAGCAAGTTTGAAGATAGAGCAAGAAACAGGCAGCCAACATACCGGCACCACCAAATGTAAATTAAAATAAATTAAGTTTATTTGGATGATGCAGTGCTCATGCGCTTCATCAAACAGGTGGGTTATGTCCTGTTTAAATTACAGCTCACTGAGGAGCTGATAACTCCACATCTCCATGCAGCTGGTGTCTGACTACACTGTTAAAAAAAAAAAAACTACACTAACTGAATTTTAAGGAATTCTCACAAGCATTTATATATACATATGACACAGACATATAAAATGTGGTTAAAATGTGCTTGTAGACCCTGCACTCTGTCAGTGCTTCTCAGGAAGTCATGTAAATAACTGAATCCTTTTGAAGTATACTGGATGCTGACAAACCCATTTGCATTAAGACTTCTGCTTCTCCATTTTGATCCATGGCAGCCTGCAGTGAGACACCTTGCTGGAGCTGATCATGTGGCGTTACACACCCTGGTGTGGAAATTTGGACCGAGTTGTCCAACATCACACAGAAAATAGGTTGCAGAACAAGCATGCCAACCCTCCAAGCCCCACCTTTCTTTACATGAATAGCATATAATACAACCACATTTCAAACACCAACATGGCAATTAGAAAATTATTCCTACATAGAGTTATTGGTTTGGTAAAAGAAGCAGTGTTTTCCAATAAGATTATACTAATTAGCTTTTCTACCCTGACTTGCTGATTACACTTTTTGCTTATGTCTTATCTTTGTCTATTCAACCAGTATTAACTTTTTGGGGGGAATATTTAATATTTCCATTTTAAGAAACCCTAGCATGTGAACACAAATTACTGAGCTTATGACCAACTGAGCCCTACTTAACTGAATTACAGGGGTTACGCAAGGTGTTACCTGAATGGTACAACACTGCAGGTGTGCTCAGAGGCTGCTTCTGCTAGGCAGACTCCAGCTCTTAAGAGTCTATAGTCTAAGACAGTCACTGGTAAAGGATTGGAATAGAAAAATTACTTCCCCCCTCCCCCCCCCAAAGACATTAATGCATTTGCAAATGCAAGAAATGATTATAAATAGAGTATCCACCACCCCCAGTCACCCAGCAAGATAACTGTTAGTAATAACTGGTAGATTAATAAGGTAGCCAATTCACTGGCACAGACAAACCAGACGACACTCTTTTGCGTGGGGAGACTAGCTGTTCTCAATTGTTTTTTAAACCAGGAATTCGTTCTAAAAAGATGAATTAAAAAAATAGTCACTAATCGCTAATTCACTCCTCCCCATCCCTGTGATACTCCTCATTTCTGCCTCTTTTCCACATCTTTACTATTGCAACAGGACTTTTGCCCATGGCCCTCTCTGCTTCTGCAGAGATGGGTCAGAGTCATCCCCAGAAAATCTACTGTGCCTGCTCCACTTTAGTCCCTCAACAACTGCCCAGTCTTGGGGTTGAATCCCAGCAGTCATAAAGACACATGCATTACCGAAAGGTGGGCTTGTCTCTTACAGCTGGGAGAAGTAAAACGGTTTAGCTACAGTGGAGAAAGCAGACCCATTCAACTCATTTGGGACAGGGCAGCAATATGGCTGGACAGTCTCCCCATTTCCTCCCCACTCTGGTACCTGAACATGGTGCGTGGTTGGGTCATACATGCCTCTGCGCATTGCTATCAGCTTGGCATGTTCATCTACCACATCCTCTCGTTCTTCAGCAAATGCCAGGATGATGCTGAAACGCGGCAGGTAGAGCAGGGCTGGAATTCGGTAGCTCCATGTACTGTTCCGGAACAACGTCTCTTGCTTCAGGACAGGAATTGAAGCCATCACGCTAGGGAAAGAAGACAAAACACACTGCATTTTAACCCACACTTAGCCTATCAAAGCTTGACAGGAGCAGATTCCACTGCTTTCTGCCCTCCCTGCTCAGCGGGACCCGACATGCAGTTAAATGCAACTTCTGCTGCTTTCACTTTCGTCTTTTTCTTGTGCTCCTCTAAACAGAATCCACATGTTGCATTGTAGCTGGCCACACAGACCAGACCTACCCCAGAAACAGACTGGTTAATCTTCCTGGGGTTAAGTAGACTAATTACAGTTAATTAAAAATCTGTCTGTAGTTTGTTTTTTCTTTTTAATGAAATTCAGAAGCTGGGATTTTTGGGGGGTTGCTTTGAAATTCAGAAGATTGTTGATAATCAAACATTTTAGTATTTTGCCTCAGAAGAACATTACTATTTTTGTTGATGGTGTTTCCAATACCCAAACCAAAACTTATGCTTTGCCAAATATGAACTTCGAACCCCATAATGACAACACAGCGAGGCAATCCATGGCCACAGCCATGCCCCTATTTGACGATGGTAAGCACTGAGCATGAAGAAAAGAAAAAGAGAACATCCTCCCTCATAAGATGAAAGAACAGTCTGAAAGGTGTCTAAATGGTGAAACTGGAAGGTGTCAACCAACTGGATGTAAGACATCTGAGCGTACCATGAGAGGCCCAAGGCAGGAGAATTAGACTTACGTACTGGGTTCTGCAGGTTTCTCATTAGAAGGGGAAAGGCCACTGCTTGCCTGAAGCAGACATGAGGTCTTACAGGGCCATGAACATGTTCCTAAGGGCCTCAAAGAACTTGGAAATAAAGTCATCAGCAATATGGAGCTGGTAACACATCAGGTGGGACACTTGTCATCTGTACAGTGACTTAAAAGCAACATTAGGGAAGAAAGCAATCATGAGGGGACACTAGGGAAGCTGCCTCTATGGACCTGGTCTGTGCCATGTCTGCATATTGTCTCTCTTCCTCCCCTTGGATCCACTCATCTGTCTGTCCTGTTGCACCAAGCCTCTCCTGATAACTGATTTACCCTGGCAAAAACCCACTGGCTCAGGGGAATTACATCTGAGCAGAGTGGAGGGGAAAGAGGGAAGAAAAAGGACCTCTGACACAATGCAGAAGAAACTGAAGGCCTGAATATCCTCAGCTCAGCGGAGATGTTGGGGGGATGGGGAATAAAATAAAAACAAAACTCAGAAAAAAAAAAAAAATCAGGCCTTAGATCTCTGACGCATTGAGTGGGTAGGATGGCAAGGATAAGATGACAATACACTATGAGTAAGAAATTCAAATGCCTCCTACCTCAGCTGAGGCAAGACTTGCAATGCTGTCTTGAGCGTTGAGGATTCTCCACGATTTAGATAAATAGGAAAGTGCTACAGTGGCTATTGGCTGTGTATCAGATCCTCATGTTTTTGAAGGCTGTCTTGATAATTCAGGACCAGATGGAGACAAACTGAAGGTTGCTTAAGCAGCTGCAGAAAGCACATATCTACCTGGAGATCAATTTTTGCTCTTCCATCTTAGAAGAAAAAAGAATTAGCTAGCCTAGCACAGACTTGATTAACAAATTTCTTTTACAGTGCAGATTACTGAGTTCAGACAATGCAGATAAGCAGTTTGTTCTCAGCCAGGACCATCACGTTATGCTCTATCCAGATCCACAGCTAGGCAGCGAGCATTCAATTACTCCTTGCTTTCACCTTCCAGATGCTATGAATACACATGAATTTCTTAAACTTACAGCACTGATCAGAGGGTCCTAACTGCACTCTTTTAGCTAAAGCCAGCTCTACAGACCCTAGCCAGCCCCAGCACCGTTGCTGCTCAGATGCAAAGCCACAGGGGAGAGAAGTCCATCTCCAAGGGGTAGCTGCTCCCTCCTCACTGCCACTTCCAGTGCAGCAGCCTCTGTACAGAAACATTACCACAGATTTGATCTCAGCTCTCCATGCAACGCCATGAAGAAAATAGGAAGACTGTCCTAGAACAAATAACTGTGTTGTTCGCTACAGAGCAGCATGGATCTGGCTATTTATACAGACTGCAGCCGTGGCTGTTCTCATGGTTCCTGAAACAGAAGCTCACCAGAGTACTTCCAGACTATTTAAAGGGAGATTATTTAAAGGGATATTAGTCAGCCTGTCTACTGCAGCACAGGTTCCCTAAGATTCCTGCTCATGGTGCCATCCCGATACTGAAATCCTTCTTGAGGGCAGGGCAAGGGACAATGGGGGAGAAAAGAAAAAAAAAAAAAAAATAAAATAAAATAAAAAAAAGAGAGAGATGTGGGCCACCCCCATGAACCCCTGAGGCAGAGCTGAAAGACCAATGCCACAGAGGCTGTGCTGCAGCGTGGCAGTGGGAGCAGAACAGCCCACTGCAGCCTAGCCCCTCCTGTATGATCCTGTCCCCTACAGGCATCTCTCCCCATGCTCTTGGCCCCTCTGCAGGATGCTCAGTGTGCATGCCACAATGCTCTTCTGTTCCTCTTAGTGCTAAATGGGGAGTGAGGGAAGGTGGGATGTTCGAGGGCTGGGAACAGCTGTTGGACACAGCACCCACTGCAGCTGAGGAAAATTCTGGGACCAAGTGGCATCTGTTCAGACTAGACAGGGACATGTGTACCCCACACACAGCGTGCATATTATGCCTGTATGCATACACACACTGTATCCACCTGCAGAGAAACTCTTCCATCCTTTTTCAGACACACTTAAAAGTCAGTATTCAACTTCTTCTATCTTCTTTTGCGGTGGATCCTCAAGCAGAGACTGAGTCACAGCAGCTTGAGTTTCACACAAAATAAAAAAATGCAGAATCTTTAAATAGCTTAAAGCTCTTAATATTTATTTAATAATAATAATAAAAAGGCTGCTTTAGTTATTCTCCAGCCAGTTGAAAAGAACTGATTTTTCTCTTGACCTCTACCCATTTTCAAAGGTAAAAACACTGGCTACACTATCCTAAATAAGAGAGAAGTAAAATTAGCAAATCATCAACAGAACAGCAAATCTTGAACAGAACAGCCACATGAGGAGTGTTCAAAAGCTCACACTCCAGCGCCGCAAGAATTCAAATCTGACACGCCAGCCTCTCCAGGATTAGATTGTCAAGGGACGCATGTGTCCCTGATGCTATCCTATTCCTACTGAAATAACACTGGCTGGCCTGCAAGGAAGAAGAAAGTGGTAGCACTGCAGCCAGCATTGATATAAGAACACCGTCAAGACAAAGTTTGCAGACCACAGCAGTGTCTTTTGACAGACCAAGAGCTATATCTGGAGGGGGAAAAGAAAACCACACCAACCTTCTAGGAACAGAGGCCTGAACTACAAGCAGGAGATTGGAGAGCTGCACACAACTTGCAAGTAATTGCTCAGACGTGTATCAATTTGATTACCTTGGAAGAAAAGTTAGCTGTACTTTTGTGAGGTAAATGGGCATGGAAGGAGAAGTGGAGTTGACACAGTAATTTATTTCCTAAGAGGTCGCTGATAACCTCTTTGTGGATGACAGAGAAACTAATGGGGAGAAGGCAAATTTGTCATGCAGCCATTAAACCAGTATTGCCTCCTGTTTTTTGGTATCTACTGGAGTTCTGAATTTACTTCCCAGGCTTACCCTTGAGAAACATTCTGTTCAGGGATTATTGACATTTACTTGCGATTCCTCTCCAATGCACTGGGGAAGTTGCTGCCCTGAGATCCAGTACCCTGCTTCCAAGCAGAACTGTGCAGAGAGAAAGAAAAGCATGGTGGAAGAAGGAGGAAGCTGGAAGAAGGAGCCCAAGCTGCAGTAAGGGATAGGTTCTGGCAAGCACCAAGATCAGGTATTTGTTCCTTCCACTTCTCTCCTTCAAGGCAGCTTACACAGTTTGCTGTTTAGTTTGTTTTGCTTGGTTTTTGTTGTTTTGATCTTTTTAAATACAGAAGAGGGTAATTCCATGCTTATTTATTTTAACCCTCTCCAAGAAGAGTGACTAAAAAGGATAACATTTCCACTGACCTCAGCTACTACAAAAAACTGTTGTTAACAAGTTCAGATCCATGATGAAAAGGCAGTAGGTCTTTAAAAACAAAGCAGCAGAAATAAGGTAATAAACTGAACTCTATCTCCTGATCCCCATCAGGGTGCCCTGCTGCTCTGTGCGGGAGTCAGTTTGTTCCTGCAGGAATGTAGATAGATCCCAACCAACCAACCAAACCTAGCCAGGGAGGTTTGGGGAAGAGGGGGCAAGGAACACAAACAAAAGAACCTGAGAAAGTCAAGTTCAAAAGCCAACTAAAATTCTGCTTTTCAGTACAAGCACAGGAATCTGTCCTTCTCTGCTCAACATCAGACCTGGGCTTGCAGCGTGTTCCAAGCTTATAGAAGCCAGCTGAGCACTATCCTGAAATATATATATATACACACACACACACAGTGTTTCATTTAAAAAAAGATGACACTTCCATTAGAATACTGCATGGAAATGGGCCAGGAGAAGCCATGTTCCAGTTGTACAGGGCTAAGAAATAGGAGATCCAGTTTGCTTCTAAAATGCTTGCTACACAGCGTATTTCTATATGCAAGCCTTCCCTCCTAGCTAAACAGAGTGCCTGTACCTATTTCTGCTGAAAGCCAGCACCAGAGAGCTATTCCAGCCTTCTCAAGCCCCTAGAGCACATCCTACACTAAATCTAGATCATGGGATTCCTTAACAAGCCGGGCAGCACCAATAAATAAACCAGCCTCAGTGCAAGGTCAGAAAGTAGAGCTATCAGTGACACCTGTCAAGCAATAAACTTTAAGCACATGACTGTTTAAAACATTCAAAATTCAAAACTGAAAAGGCACAGAGCTGGAATTACTTTAATCCAGCTGCCAGCTGGATTAAACTTTTTAACTACACTAGAAGCAAAGTTTTTCTTGTGGTAAAGACTTCATACCACACCTACAAGGGGATTTTCAGCCTCCTCAGTCATTGCTTTCCTAAACAATGGGTCAAGTTCTGCTTTCAAAATGTTGTGGTTCAGCCTGGCAGAAGCTCCTGTGCTTTAAGACACAGGTTTTCTGAGCAGTACAGAGGAATTACATGAAACAGCATTATTTTTCATAGCATATGATTGGTGGAGGACTACACAGACTGTACTCCAACCTGAACCGAAAAAAACCCGTAGTATTTAGCTTTTTAGAACCGAAAAAAAGTGTAGTATTTAGCTTTTTAGCTCCCAGTAATACCCACTTATATGGAGAGGAAAAAAAAAAAATAATGAAATACCTCTTTCACTCTGTGCCTCCTGGAAGTCACGTCAAAAGTAAAGGAAAAAAGCACTCTTATTGGATACGATAAAAGGGAGGTTCACCACACTCCTACCAACTAGTCTCCAACCTGCAAAATTATTTATATTGGCAGCGATGTCAGCTGTCTCGGATCCCCCAGGAAGAGCTAGCAGCTGGCATGTATACACAAGCCGATATTTAAATGGCAAACCTGTTTTGCATACAAGGGGAGGTTCCATCTGAGCTGGACAAATGCAAGGGAAAGATTTTTAAATGACTGTAGTAATTAAATGACTTATTTCTATCTGCATGGATTGACAGGACTACAGAATAGCTGTTGTTGGTAATGGTTACACAGTTCACTCCTGCCTGTCCTTTCCTGCTCTTCTTGTCCCCTAGTGCTGAGGAGGGGTAAGTTCCTCCAGTCCCAGCACGTTGCCTCTCAGAGTGCTCTGGAGCTCCATGAAAGTTCGCCACAAGACCCCAGAAAATGGTTATAACCAGGGAGCGAGGGTGCTGTGACAAGCTGACATATCCCTCTGCTGGCTCTACCCACCTGGCATCCATCAGCGTGCTGTTTCTGGATGAAGGGATGGACTGACACAGGGACACCCAGGCAGCAGTAGAGGAGCATGCTACTGCATACGGATGCAGCTCCCAGCAGCCAAACTTCACACCAGCAGCTGCAGTCAATGAATCAATAGGCACAGTCAAGCAGAAGAAAGGAGGGGCGAGTATGAGCGTAGGGTCCCAACACGTGGTGGGAGGCTGAGGGAGAAGAGGACAGCACCATCCCTTCTCCCAGGTGTGAGCTTAGGGGCAGCACCTGCAGCTGCTACTGCTGGGAGTAGCCAAGCAAATTGACTTCATGACTACCTTGTACTACTGATGTAATGTGGTGCTGCTGCTGTCAGAGACAGCCTTGCCTCACCTTTCCCATTCCTGGCTGTTTCTCTTCCTTTATGTTTTCTCTGCTGTGTTTCCATTGCTGCCATTAACACTTCTTGGCTCTGAGATTATTGGGAAAATAATAATAATAATCCTGCAAATAGATCTTGCTAGTAAAGAAAAAGGAGGAAGCAAAGTCTACCCACTTGACAGCAGTTGTGGTTTTGATCTGTGCAAGCCAAATAGAGAGTTGCTAAGGTGTTGATTTACGACCAAGCAATTTAATTAAATGCTTCTGTATTACCATCTTCCCTCTCTCTTAAGCAACCCTGCATCCCTTCTCGTGCCAGCACTGATGCTCATCTTACCTTGGCAAGCCATCAGAGGATGACAGTCTGACAGAAAACTAATCCAGAAAAAAAAAAAAAAAGAAAAAAAAAAAGTGAACAGCTTTCTGCTGGGTCACTGTCCTGGACTACGTCAGCAGGAGTCAGACAAGCAGCAGGGGAGGGAGGAGGAGTATGAAGCTGTTGACAGGAGACATAGATTCACCTCTCTGGCAGCTGGCCATTAGATCAAATTAGCTGTATTGTAAAACCACACCCTGTATTTATGAACCTTGCCTTAACTGGGCAAGTAAAGTATTGCCTTAACAGAGACACAAAAGAAGCCTGAGGGCATTTGTATCTTGCTGTTATATCTGGAATCACACAATAGTCAATGCAAGGAAAAACCCCTCCAGACAATGGCATTGATATCCACGAGATGTTAACTTCTACCAGTGAGTCCTGGAGAAAATCCAGAGTCAAGCTAAGCAGAAACAATTAAGAAAGGAAGAAAGACACCAAAGACGCTGCTAAGACACTGCCTGCCAGAGTGAGACATGAATGATTGCTTTGTGGATTTCTTCACCTTTTCTCTGCTCCCTGGCTAACAGCAGTGTTGCTCAGGTGGTGCTCTGAGTCACGCACAGCTTCTGCAGCCAGCCAGGCCATGAATGCTTGTTTGTTTCGCAGAACTCACTTTGCCTGGCCGCAGCTTAAAACTGGCTGTCCATCTCTCCTCAGGGTGGGAAGTCCTGAGCGTGGCTCATAGTGAGTGTTGTGGTGCCAGTGGTTCCCTGCTCTACGCTGGCAGCACGTGCATGGCAGGGTGGCTGTGCCCTTGCCACCTCCTGTCACCCAGCTCCCTGTCCCCACATGTCCTTACCCTCCCTCCCAAAGCAAGAGCCCCATCTCCCCTGGCAGAAACAGCCAGTCAGGGTACGTGCTCCCCAGGGCAGGTAGCAGACGTGGCTGTTCAGAGGGTAACAGCCTGGAAAGGCTAAAAAACACTCCCCAGGCAAAAAATGCAAGCTTAGTCCTGTTGTGAGATGAACCCCAGTGCCCGTGCAGGGCAACCACACAGCCAGCAGGTGGGCACCCCATGGTGCTTCCCTGGCACAGCCATCACCGAGTGCTTGCAGACAGCATCCAGGCCCCCAGCGCTGCTCTCAGACCCCAGCCCGCACTGCAGTCCTCTGCCAAAAGGCCACCTTCCTTCCTGACAGCAGTGCTTTCACCAAACAGCATGTTGTGTGCTGGAACTATTTTCTAAAACCATTCCTTGCTGGCTACAAAACATGGATTTCTCTGTGTAGATGTGCTGGGTTTGATCCCCCTGCTTCCTGCTGGGGTAAATCAAAACCGGTGGCACAATGAAGTTTAAAATGAGTATAGGTCTAGGGAGAATCAAACTCGTCACTTCTATTATTCCCAACTTACTTCATTGCCATTACATCTGATTGTTGTAATGAAAATGTTTTAAAAAAGGTTAAAAAATGCAAATGGGGTGTGTGGGTGCATTAATAAGAGGATATAAAAATAATGCAGAAGATAATGTAATGAGAGAATACTGAACAATGGAGCATTTGCATTTGGACAACCAAGCTCAATTTCAGGTGCCACCTCGCAGGAAAGATATAGCAATAGCTGCAAAGGAAGGCTAAGAATTCATATTTCATATGCTAGTACTGCTGAGCATATGTGAAAGCAAATAAATAAGAAAACAAGAGATGCTACATTTAATGAGAGTGACACCTAGTCCATCAAAAACTATCAGTGTGTATTTCCCTTGCAAAATATTTAAACCTGAATCTATTGGTTTGTTAAACTACTAGAAAGGCAAGCCTGGCACAGGTAATTCAGTATTTATGGCTAAGCTACAGAGTGTAGCAGCTGTCATCAGTCAGCTAAAGTTAAAATCAAGATGTCTTATATGGAGCTAGGCCATATGAGAGAGCAATTACACAGCTTTGCAAATTTTTAGTTGAAATCCTATGGGCTGCCCTCCAGACATTAGGGAATACGGTATCGTTTGTGCAGAATGTAAGTCCTATGGACCTGATGGCTGAATGAAAGTCTGTGCTGTCAGGAAAAACAAATCAAAATAAAACAAGAAAAGGTCAAATTAATAATAACGAATGTAACTCACACAAGTGCTAATAGCAGAGATCTTTGGAAAAGAGGATTCTTTGGACAAGGGAACATCTGCCTGTTTTGTTCTGTGCTTTTTTTTCGATTCCACCTCATTACAGAAATGAGCAGTTGCGCACATTCAAAGCCACTGCCTCGCTATCCTTATCAGTTGTGAGAGCAACAGGTATGAGGAGCAGGTACTCTTTGGGTTTGTATCATTTTACTCTCCAGTGACTCCTGTTATGTTACCTTTGATTTCTATCAAGAGTAAGCAAAGGATTGTGCTCTCAGTGTTTACTTTCCCAGTAAATAATAGCCTAGCTCTTAAAAATGATTTCTGCTCCTCATGGAGAGACCTGGGTGAAAAAAAACCCTACTCTCTCTACCCAAAGGGCAACACCATCACGCTAAAATGGGCTGGGATGCCTTCTGGCACTAAACGGTGAATTCTGCATTTGTCACAGTGCAGCCTTTGTCCCCTGTGGAAGACACTGCCCCATGAACAGCCTAGCGTACATGTGATACACATTACATCACTTTTTCACCCCACCCATTCTATTCGGAATGGAAAAAATAGATATATTACTTTTGTAATAAGATGAAGATACATGGAAAGCAAAAAGAGAGGTGCTAAGATTCACATACAGAAAGGAGGCTGTAGAAACATGATTTATTTAGTCCTCAAAATAGCAAAGTTGATAAGGAGTTGCTCCAGGAGAACTGGAGGAACTTAATGATTGAAAAATGCAATAAAACTGGAATCCCTTGCCTCATGTACCCTGCCAGCTCTGGGGACACTCAGATAAACAAGTCTGAAGCACAAGGCTAGCAAGTTTCACCCTGAAGTTTCACTCTTGTGATAGGGGAACCCAAATTCCAGAACATCCCTCATGCCTGTGGCCCACTAGCTCATAGAGCAGGAGTGCGCAGGTCTAACAGTGACCTTGATTAATCATTACAGGATTCATTGCTGACAGCTCTCTATGCCCAGGTCAGGCCTTCAGCTGGTATAAAGGGATAGTGACACTGGTGACCATGAGGCTATGATGACTGACCTCAGATGGACCAGAGCTTTACTGAAAACACATTTGGATTTCTACAGAGTAGATTGGGCGTGGGAAAAATACAACCTATTTTAAAAGGAATGGGGTAATTCTATGACCAATTAAAACATTTGGAGATGAGGCAGTTGGTAAGTTTAGTGAACTTCAAAAAGAAAAAAATCATGGGAAAGACAAACATCAACTTCAGCAGGCACTATGGTGCTGAGTGTCATTCATTCTACAGGCTTAGTTATCCAAGGAAAATGTTTTACCCAAGTATAACACTGCATAGGTGTGCAGGTTTATCTGTATTCCTTCGAGGCATCGGGCCCTAAGCTGTTCACAGAAGGATATTCAGACAGTAGAAAGCAAGCCCACCTGAAAGAGCAGCAAATGTAAGCACAACCTGAACACAAAATCAAAATATTTCATGGGAGAAAATTATAATGCTTTTGGATGAACGGATACAAAAAGCCTTAAAATTAAACCAGGCTGGCTCTGCTATATCCATCCCAATGCCCAGGTATGTGAACATGCATGAAAATAAAAAAAAAAAGGCAACCTAAAAATAGTCATAAACATTGAGGCCTTTGCATCTCATATGCCTGTAAATAATGTAAAGCAAGAGCAGTAGCTCAGCCAGTGGGCCTGAAAAGTGTAAGCAAATACCATTTACTGTTTCCACTTATTTGAGTTTGCAGATTTGGACCAAGGTTTCACCCAGCTGTTAAAGATTTATATGGGAGGTTTAACAAAGCCCTGTCATTAAACCTTTGGCACAAGTGGTGCAAAGGACATTCAGAGGGTGTTTGTACTAACTTACCTAGATAAAGGGAAAGCTGTTCCTTTAAATTGTGTTTGCTGTGACTCTGGAAACTAAGCAAACAAAGTCTGAGGGAAACTTTACTTTCAAGCAGAACTGACAGAAGGTACAAGGACTGAAGGACAGCGATCTTCAGTAGGACACACCTGATCAGGATTCAGAACAGAATTGGAACTTTCTAACAGTTTGTGGGAGTTTAGTCCGGATTTGTTGGACAGACCTAATCCTGATGGCAAATGAGGCACTGGTTCAGCCCCTGACA